TCTTTATTTCCCCCCCCCCCCATTTAAATCCATTCAAAATTAGCTCTTTTTTAAAAAAAAAATGAAAACGTGTGCATACATTCCTCTGAAAAGATGCCCTTTTTACACAGGCTATTTTTGGAACTGCAAACCACATTACAAAAATCGGAGGAAAGTAGATTTGGCGATACAAGTGTGTTGCTTTTACACTTCTCCGGGTCTTCTGAGAGGGCAGGATGAAAATGGAAAACGACATAAATAATTCTGCTCAGCGGGTTCAACAGAGCAGGCCGAATGTTCAGCGTTCACGGCTGAGCAGGACAAGGCATCAGGGCTCCCAAATCCCTTTTAACCACTTTTAAACCATACCATGATGGCTTTTGAAATCACGTTCTTTTCCCTACACAAAGAATTGGGAGCCCCCAAAGGCTGTCACTGAAGAAAACATTTGTACCTTCAGCATGGAAGTTTAATTAAGGAAACGTGATGCAGGAATGAGTGACCTGGTGTCAGTTTCCCTTCCATGTTTCAGAAATAAAAGATGGTGCTTCAAATGCCAAGACAAAATAATATATAGACAGAGGTTCTTGTGAAATACGTTCTTGCTGTTTTGACCTCTGAGAGGTCAGGTGTGGTTTCAGAACTATTCTTGAAAAGAAATTGGTGTAACAAAGGTACTGATTTACAGAATTCTGCCCATGCAGTAAAAGGGACACAACTCAACTCTTTCCAGCTGCTGGTTAGGAAATTAGCAGCTGTTCTTCTCTTCTACATTAAAATAAAAAAGCACAAGACCATATCTGAGTCTATCACTGCCACACAGTGGCACAGTATACATAGACGTTCACGTTTCCTAATGGATCGGCTTTTAAAGGATTTCTCTTTGCATGTTCAAAAGGGTGCATATCTAACTAGGAAAACTGGCATTTCTCTTCAAAATTATCAGTGATTCTTCAAAGTGAAAGCCTGACACAGAAACGAAACCAGAGGAAAGCCACACAATACGGTTAATCTCACAAATAGCTCCGAAACAGCCAAAACCTTAGAATAAATAAGGATGTTATTTACTCTGGACAACACAGAGGGAAACCTGGACACCTGACAAACTCTCAGTGAAATCAGATTTAAGACTGTGCAATAACTGTATGCTATATTCTAATCCAGGAGTCTCCGAACTTGGCAACTTGTGGACTTCAACTCCCAGAATTGCCCAGCCAGCATGACTACCTGAGGAATTCTGGGAGTTGAAGTCCACAAATCTTAACGTTGCCAAGTTTGGAGACCCCAATCTGATTCTGGACTAAATTCAACTCAGAAATGAAAATTTCCCTTTTCCTCTGTCACCTTTTTTTGCTGTCTCCAAGATCTGCTCCTAAAGTACCTTCAATTCTCCTAAACACATACCTGGATGAGGGAACTTGATCCACCAACAGACAATTTACCATCATCAGAATTTTGAATCCAACCTTTTGTCTTGAAATTGGCTTAAAACAACTGGCTGAAATGAAAGTTTCCTTCTACTGACCACACAGAAGCAGACATTTGTGCAACTGTTAGAAAAGACCAATGAATTGATTGAGTGCTGCCCAGGGGTTATAATAAGAATGTACTCAATCATTTATTCTTATTCAAGGGAAATAAATATTTTTATATTTTATTCAATTTATGGAATCAATTTACAGGGCCACCCATTTTATGGATGTGACTCTGGGCAGTCAGCAATGCATTAAACTCACATTCACCCTTTTTCTGTTTTAGATAAGATACTGAAGCAAAGTTCAGATTGACTATCTCAGCTTGCTGGGTGATTAGTGTTTATATGCCACATGTTGCTATGATTTAGGTCAGTAATTTTGCCTTAGTCCAGCCTACCTCACAGGCTTGTTGTTGTGGGGGAGGAAAGTAAGAAAATGGAGCACTAGGCCCCTGCCCTGAAGCTGCAGAAGAAAATTGGAATGTAAATTTAAAATCAAGCAAGCAAACAGAACAGTAGACTGCAAAGAGAAATATACTAGTGAGGTAGCTATCTCCCATGTTTTTACATGTCAAGTTTGAAGCAAGTTCTTATCTTAAATAATGATTTGGACATAAGAGTATACTTAACTTCGAAACTACAAAGAAACAAAATGAACAGAAGGAGGAAAAGGCTGTTCTGTCCCAGGAAAATGGTTTTCCTGGCATCATAAAACTTAAAGAGACACACCAACCCAATCTTCTCTGGATTACAATCCATTGCATCAGGAAGAACCATGAAGCAGGTGGCTGGATGGAAAGGCGTATCAGAAGGGCCAGAGAGAGAGGACCAGAAAGAATGGCAAGATATTCCTAAACTGGTGCCAGTCAACACCTGCTCACTTCAAACATATTTCACGTAGCTGGATCAAAAAAAACCCACCTAAATCTGCCCACTGCCCCATTCAGGCATTGAGGCTAGAAAAGAAGTAATTCCCCCTTTCTGTGAAATGCTGAGCCAAGGGACATAGGTGAAAAAAGGGAAAACTTTCTCCCATTCGGAACAGCTGGCCTGTCTCCCATTTGGAAACCCAGGAGACCTGATGGTGCAGTAGTTAAAATGCAGTATGGCAGGCAAACTCTGCCCACAGCCTGGAGTTCAATTCTGACAAGCTCAAGATTGATTCAGTCTTTCATGGTCAGTAAAATGAGGACCCAGATTGTTGGAGGCAATATGCAAATAATACTTACCTTGTAAACCACCCAGAAAGTGCTATAAAGCACTATGGGGCGGTATATAAGCCTAAAATGCTATTGTTATTGCTACTTGGTTTCTTGTGCACTTGTGTAGCGTTGAATACATGGGCCAATATAGGGTACTGCCTTGTATGGTTTTCCCAGAAAGTTTGAAAAGAATCTTCAATGTGTACACTGTCAACAACAGTGTGTCTAGCACCGATGATTCATATTAGATCATGGTCAACCGGCCATCCATCTCTTGTCTTCTTTCTTATCTTTCATTCTATCCAGTCCTCTTACTCCATTGGTTTGCTATCCAAACTGCTAGGTACAAATCATCTTTGAGATACTGTCTGGAAAAATTCTGGTTCTATTCTATGCAGTTGACATCCTTAAAATTTAAAATAATTACACATTCCCTCAGAATGTAAAAACAAATAAAAAATAAAGGTGCCCTTGAGTCCAGCTTGGCTCCCACTGATTGCATCCAATGCAATTTCGTTGCCAGTTTTTATTGAAGTGGTTAGTCACAATCTTCTTCCTCTGCTATAAAATACACCTACAACAGTTGAGTATATAAATGGCAGAGGAAGAAAAGTCCAACTTAAAAAAGACTAAGTATCTGCACTGCTAATCCTGGCAGAGGAAAATATTTTGTTCCTTTAAGGAAAAACCCTCTTCTTTAGCCCACGACGGAGGTAGTTTGGTCTCTGGAATTGTTAAAAAAAATTGAAGTACATTCTAGAACAGTGGTTTCTTAACCTCAGCAACTTTGAAATGTGTGGATTTCAACTCCCAGGGTGGGAACCTGGGAGTTAAAATCCACACTCTTTAAAAAGTATAGGAAACACTGTTCTAGTCCCTGGAGGCAGCCTCGCAATTCATTCCAGTGCCAAGCCATTAGGTTTACAAAAAGTTGCAACTTAGCACTCTAAATTACCCTTGGAAATGCACCAGCCATTCCTGGAGGGACAATACTGTGACTTCAGAGAAATATTTGGCCAGTTCCTCTTTCACTTCTCTTGGGGCCAAATACAAGTTTAGCTTCACAGAAAAGAACAAACAGCAATTGAGGAAGTGAGAAAATTTGGTAAGTTGTTGGTTTTTTTTTTTTACATAATGTTGCAGCTATTTCTACATGATTTAAAATTTCAAAAACTTGCCTCCTCTTTTGTGAAATATTGGATAGGCCCTAAGAAAAAGGATTAGCTATTACCATATGGTTTTTCTCCCCTCTTCATTGAGCAACATGGATATTTAAAAAAAAAATTTTTTTTTAAACTATATATTGTCTTGGGTGCCTTCACTGAAAAGCAGTATATGTATGTATAAATCAACATCTTGTTAGGTGACGTTCAACCTTCAACCCTGAAATATGTGTGCAGATCTAGTGTTTTCCTGCAAAAACTAACAAACATTTGAAAAAAATATTAGTCCTGGAGAGTTTCACAGAGTACAGCTGCAATTTTTCACCCTGCTGTGGTAAAAGAGGCAGACAAGGCACCTGCGAAGGCCTAGAGATGCTGGGAATACCAATCCTTTTGAATTTGCTGTTTCTAAAGACACAAAGAAGTCCACCATTTTTCAGCCTAGAGTGGCGTTTCTCAGCCTTGGCCATTTGAAGTTAAGTGGATCAACTCCCAGAATTCCTCCGCCAGCATTCTGACTGGTGACTTCTGGGATTTGAAGTCCATACATCTTCAAGTTGCTAAAATTGAGAAATACTGGCCTCTCATGGACCGGTCCTCTAACACAGTTTGTTTTTACTTGTAAGAGTCAACTCTGAAAAAGGATGCATTTTTGCACCGCAAATTATTAGGAAAGAAGTGAAAAATGAACCTCATAGCATTTAGAGTGCTGTGCGTTTTTCTAGTCACTGTACGGCAAATATTATATTAAGGCCTTTCTGAGAAAAATCACATTGACAG